GCTAGGTTATAATGTGGATATACAACTATTGTGCGGACGTGTGGACAATGTTATTCTATGATAATAATTAACATAATAGGTTGTTTAGCAATGTGAATACGTTCAATTTCACACAATTATCGTCATTTTCAATGCATTCTCACTAATTGTTATTCATTTTTATTTTTTCACACATCGTTTTTCACTAATCTTCATTTTAAAGAATACGACTCTATAAACATTTATACAATATTCTGACAGAATGAGAATAATAATAAAAAGTGTATAATAATCTTATAGACGATTTAATTAGTGAGAATGTATGATAATGACAATAGTTATGTAAGATTGAACGTATTTATATTATTAGATAACATATTTTCTTTATCAATGTCACAGAATAACACTGTTCACACGTCCGCACAATAGATGTCAATCCATATTTTCTTGTAATATTTTTTTTTCTTTTTTCATCTTTATTATATTATTTCAATAGATATATAACAAGAAAACAAGTTCGAAACCCATGTATAAGTTCGAATATCAAACCTAGCACACGGAAAACAAGTTCAAAATTCTTGTAAAATAGTTAATTATTCTGAAATATATACGACGAACCTAATTAAAAAACTTAGTGCGGAATTTGCAACGACTTTACAGAAAAAAAAAATTTGAATTTGTTTTTTGTCAAAAAAATAATAATTTCAAAATTATCAAATTTCGAGCTTGATGATAATTTTTGTACTTGTACGATTGGCGGGTCATTTTCTAATACGTTTTAAGACAACGTGGTCATTGGTGAGTATCTCTTTAATTATTTATTACTAACGACTTCAACTCACATGGGTGGCATGGCCAGAATACTGAGAATGAAACAGGTTCTAAAATCATCGATAAAGACGTAAGAATGGAAGATATACCTCATAAACCATATCATTGAGAGCCATGGCTAAGAGCTCCCAAATGTAACAACATTCTTTGCTACAAGGATCATCACTTCTTCTCCCTAATATGGTCAAAACCATACGCCCTCCACTCACCGTCTCATCTGCACGACACTTGAGAAACACCGAAAAATCTGACTGGAATTGTTGATAGTATGCTCTTATTACACTTGATGGACTTGTACTTGACATGTATATGTTCCCTTTGTTCGTCTCTTCAAGTTGAGGAACCTGCTCATTACTCAATGAATTTTGAACACATTTACATATTTGTTCACCATAAATTTTCTACACATTTGCAACGAGGCTGTAGCGATGAAATTTGTCGTCTACATGCATAGTTCCTTTTCTTGTAGAGTGTGTGTGAGTGTGTGTGTGTGTGTGTGTGTGAGAGAGAGAGAGAGAGAGAGAGAGAGAGAGAGAGAGAGATGTGAACCTGAGAGAGCCACATAAGACTGTACGAGGAATGGACGAAATGAATGCTTTTGCTAGGAAAAAGCCTCGTATAAAACGAACCGGCTACCCCACTGAAGTAGCAAGAAGGTGAAGAGGGATTGGAGTGGTACACATCGTTTCTCAAACTCTCAAGGAATTTGGGCAACGAAAGAAAGACGATGTTAAAATCATTCCCTGGAAGATCATTCAAATGAATTTGGATTTGGGGTGGTTCATTGCCCATTTTGAGACTAATCTCGTTAATCATTTTGATAAACGTAGCCGCCACAAGCAGGGTGTTTGGTCCAGATGAACATCCAAGATCGGCCATGACTATCGTTTTTGGGCAATTCATGGCACAGTAAAGATCTACTGTAGCTTGTTTTAGGATGGGCTTTGTCATCGATATCACCTTTCGCTATCATCATAGCAAACATCAAAAACCTTATTACACAAACTTTTTGATTCCCACATGTAAAAAGTTCTTTTGTATGGGCAATTTTATCAAAAGAAAGATGTATTAATTAATTATAGTGTTTACCTGAAGAAGAGAATTATTTGAATAGCTTGCATCACCATTTCCCCCTTTCATATGAAGTAATTGGACAACTTCCATCCTGTGTGTGTGGGTGGGGTATATGCGGTTGTGTGTTCGACGTCTAGATGTATGTTTCTATTTATAGATGTTTCAAATAATTATATCGAATTCTTGGCACCTAAATTACATATTTGAGATCTTTATTCACTAACTTAAATTTATATTTATAAATATTATTTTTTATTCACGAGTATTAAATAAAGAAAAACTAATAATAATAGCTATCTTTTAATTTTTTTACCACAAAGTCAAGAAAATGAAAATTGACCAAAATAGTTATCATTTTCGTAGATGACCGTCTACAAATTTCTTTGTTCAAAATGACGATGTTTTGGACAACTTACTAAGAAAATATCTGCGTGCCGTAAAAATCTATGGATGGGATGTGGACAGATCTGCACATTTGCAGTCCCGGACCGGTCTTGGGTCGGTCTCGAAACAGTTCGGTCTTTTTGTGGCAGGTTTCGGAACGGTCCGGTCTTTTTTCGGACCGGTCTTGGGGCGGTCTTTTTTCGGTCAGGTCTTTTTTCAGACCGGTCTCTTTCGGTCCGATGTTTTTTAGGACCGGTCTTTTTTGGTCCGATATCGCCGTCTTTCTGTGCGTTGTTTGCGGTTGGTTTTTGGGTTTTTTGCTTCGCTTTTGGTATTTGTTGGTTTTTTTAGTTTTCGTTTCGAGCTTTTCTCTTAACAAATGTGTGATTAACAACAAAATGATAGATTCAACTTTATTAAAAATGATACACTAAAGTTTAATAAAAGAAAAAAAGAAATAAAGTTAGATAGTGTGGGATTAAAAACTATGTAATTAACACAAAAATGATATATTTGTAAACTTTGGTTAGCGGTCTTTTTTGAGTTAGGTCTCAGACCGGTATTGTGTTGGTCTCGGAACGGGCGGATGTTTTTTTGGGACCGGTCCGGTCCGGTTGGAAGTTATAAAAACCAAAAAAATGAAATTATTTTCCTCATTTCTACACTACATTTTCACAAATCACTATCACTTTTCTTCGAAGAAAATAGCTAGAAATGACAAGGATCTTCCCCATTCAGTTGTTTTTTTTTCTATCTCTGTTTTTAGCCCGCAAATTAGCAAATTAGAACAGGTAGTATTTGGTAGGATATTTCAGAAGGTAATTGTACAGTTTAGTAGATGAACATTTGCTAAAACATAGATTTTCGTAGATGTTCATATATGAAAATCTATGTTTTAACAGATGTTCAAATGCTAAAATGTATATTTACCTGTGAAAATTTCAATATTTAAAAAAAAATCTAGTTAAATTTCCTTAGAAAGTTTTGATGTTTTGATTTTGTTGCTCTATGTGTAACCATTATTTGTTAATATAACATGATTAACAGTCTTATCATGCGTCAATGAATGCTAAGGCCAATGCCAATAAGGTAAAAGCTACCATAGACCGTTTAACCGATAGAAGACCGAAGTTATTCCGCAGGACTATGTTTGGACAGTAGATGGACGTACCTCCTATCAAGGGACCTGCTGCTTCATTATTGGCCGATGTTGCAGAAGGTTAGACCGGATATTTTGATTGGCAACATATTGATTTATTTCGGTCGATCCTGTCTGATCATCGTTTTTAATTTTGGTGGTCGCACAACAAAAAACATAGCCTTCAGCGGCGACAAAAGTCATCGCAATTGATTCCAGTTGTCGTCGCTAATACCTTTAGCGACAACATGTCGTCTCTAAAGCGTCGTCGCAATTACCTCGTACCTAATACTCGTTTGTCGTCGCAAATACCGTCGTCTCTAATACGTCTGTGGTGTCGCTATTGTCGTCGTCTCTATTGATATTCCGACCACCGGCCAGAGTTTTTCCGGCAAAGCTTGCCGGATTTATGTGTAGTCGCAATTAGTCCACGTCGTCCCTAAAGGTGTCGCTGCTAATGTTTTTTTTTTTTTTTTTTTTTTTGAGAAAAAAGCATATATTTTATGATAGTATAGTTTATATCATAAAATGCAGATTTGATAAAAATACATACCACATTACATAAAACATCAAACATACCATATTACATATCTAATAAATCCTCCATAAACATCTAATATATAATCCATAAAGTATCTAATAAATCAAAAATAACATCATCCATAACATAAAACAAGAATACTATGTTTCTTCGTCTTCGTCTTCCTCTTCCCCATCATTGTTTTCCTCGTTGTTGATTTGGTCTTTAAAGGAGCGGATAATGTCTCCAATGGCCGTCACAAATACCGCGTTTTCAAGAAAGGCATTCACATTAACATCCTACAATTAAGTCACAAGCACATTAAGTTGTTAACAATTCAACAAACTATCAAACCATCAAAGCACCAAATGAATTAAGTCGTTAACAATTTAAGACACAAGTACCTGTGTTGGTTGCGGTGCTTGTGACTGTGACTGCCATTGGGATGGAACACTTCTACCCGCAACTAAAGAAGGTTTAGCCCCAATGCCTCTCACATGCCCCCTTCGTGTACCCAACACCTTCTCAAACATTGCAATCCAATCAATAGTGTCTGGATCACCACCAGAGTCGGCTATGTGATGAGTCTGTAGAGCAACCTCAGCAACTAAGGCATTCTGTATTTCACAAAGATTGTTAATATACATTAAAACCATCACAAAAAAACCAACAATCTACTACGAGAAATTTAAGTAATAGTAACTTACATATTGCTCTTCAACCAAAGGATCAACAAATTCCCCTTTTTTATTCATATGCGCACGATGAAATACTTCAAATCTATTCAAATTCTGTTTAACAATACAAAATATGTTATATTTGAATAAACACTAAAAAATATGTTATAACTGAATAAGCATTATTGTAACTTACTTTCTTGAAACAAGCACTACCATAGTTGCACGTCCCTCCACGATTTTTCACTACTTGCTTCTTCCGGAATTCTTTGTTTCCAGCGGATCATTTTTGATGTTTTTCTGTTAAGAAATGGTCAATAGTATCATTCCAACGCTGCCGATCCATACCCGTAGGGGCTTGAGCCCTTGCTGCCTCCACATCCCCTGCAAAATCAATCAAACAATTTTTTGCAATATTTTTGCGGCCTCTATACCGCGCACATATCCGATTGTTCAGTGACACCCAATAAGTTGGAGCCATGGGATGATTTGTAATCGCTCTAAAATCAAACCATGTCTACAAAATAGAAATAGAGAAGTTAAAAATAAATCAAATTAAACAATATTAAATATATAACTTTATAAATAATTTACCGAAAGATATTGGAAAATGCCAACCCTTTGGGCTTCAGAAACATCAGTTCATGTGTCCTTATCAAAACGAAAGTCCCGCCACATATAGCTCCCAACCTCCCGAATGAAACATTCATACACCTCCCCAATCGGCATGTTAGTATTTATGTCGAATACTATCTTCAGAGTCTGTTCACCGTTAGCTTTAAATAGTTTGTGCATTTTTTTATTTACCGCCATGCCTCTTCGTCTCGGAGGCACCATTGCATAAAAAAATATTAGTCAAAATAATTTTTTATATACATACAATATGAAATACCATGAATTAGAATAAATCTTAATTACCATCGTTCTGGTGATCACCAAAACCTCCACCGAACGGATTTGGTGGCTCGTCACCACCGTCGCCTCCATGGCCCATCACAGCAGCCGTGAGATGGAGCAATGCAATCCAAAAAAATTACATCCTAAAAAATTATAACACAATATGAATTATATATATATATATACATATAATATGATATGATTACAACAAATACAAACCTTATTTTACTAGTCAAATGTAAAGATTTTTTAATCATTCTCGCCCTCAGACACTTCAGTGTTTGCTAACACATCACTATCATAATTTGAATCTTCCTCATCATAATCAGTCTCGCAATCAAACACATTATTGATGATACTTGTTGGTGGGTCAACTTCAATATCATCTTCAACCGATTGAGAATTTTGAAAGCACTGCCTAAATTCGATTGAGAGAGTGAAATTAGAAGAAGCATTACTAAGAACGACATCAGTTGAATCATTGTCGACATTTTCAATGGGATCATGGTCGACATCGTTCATCGGTAGATCCCAAATTCTTCTATGATTAACATTTTCAACAACCCACCGTTGGTTGTCATTTTCGTCACTTCGAGAAGGTTCTTGGATGTAAAATACTTGCTTGGCCTGCGTAGAAAATATGAGTTGATCTTCGCTGCTCAATTCGCGTTGTGGGTCGATACTGGTGAAATTATTATTAGATTTAGCTCCTGCAGTATCGAACCACATGCAACGAAAAAGTACGGTGGAATATTTATCAGGATAATGCAACTCGATAATCTCTTCTAGCTTACCATAATATTTCTGCTTATTCTCTCCCTCAATTAGAACCCCCGAGTTTTGTGTTGATCGTTGGGCGTCACGCATAAGTACCATAAACCTAACACCATTCACTATGCAAGCAATGTAAGTAAAGACATTCACATGCGCACCGATTGAAAGAGCCGATAACTCATTGTTAAACTCTGGAGATTTTTGTTTTTGCATATCATAGACCTTATGAAGGAACCATTTAGGGAATTCGGTTTTTTCATCACTTTCAGGATGTAATGATTTGAATTCACTAC